CAGCCTGGGTGACAGAGTGAGAATTCTACTCAAAAAAAAAAAAAAAAAGAGAGAAAAAGAAAAAGAAAAAGAAAATTATTCTTCAGTTTTAATGTAGAAAATTTGAAACAAAAAAGACACCCAGTTTTTCTGTGGATGTTGAGCATAACTGGTATGGGTGTGTGTGTGTGTGTGTGTGTGTGTGTGTATGCACGCACAAGCTCCTATAGATGAAAGCTATAGATGAAAAGTATAGCCAAGAATGGTGAGGGAGAAATGACATGCAACTGCTGAGTTCCCCTGGAATACATCTGGCTTGTATTTTGAGTCCTTTGAGGTCAACGTAAAATGGCATAAACCCACTAGGAAATTTTAAAAGCCCAAAGCAACAAGATAGGTTCTTACTGTAGCTCAACTTCAGTGATGCTCTCAGAATTCGGAGACGTCCAATTTGTGTCTAAGAACATGTCATTTTGGTTTTTCACGTAATACAGGGAACTGCCGTTGCACTGCTTGTCTGCTCCTTGCCAGAAGCCCACTGAGTTCTTGTTCTTGTCCATGGCTTGCATGACCACAGCACTGACATTGCTATTTACAGGAACCCATACTAGAAAGAAATGATGGGGACACGGTCAGCCACCTGTGCACTGTGGGCCAAGTTCAAGGGATGAAGGAATGACATTGAAATGAGGTGTGAACAAAGAAAGTTACAAGAGTAGGTACATAGAGTGTGCTCTCATTTTTGTAAATGAAATTGAAAGTCTGGAAGAAGATACATCAAGATATTAGCCATGATTTCTTGGTAGCGGGATTATAGATGATTTTTTTTACTTTCTCCCTAGTGCTTATTTTGGGGTTTTCCGAACTGTCTTCAGTCAAAGGTGGACAAAAGCAAACCTGTACTCTGGTTCTAGTTTTGCTACATGCTAGAGGAGATCTGGGAGGAAGTCTCTACTCCCCCAAGCCAGGACCCATTTGCCGGATGAGAGGACTAAGCCTGTTTGCGGAGGAGTGCGGGGATGGAAGAGGTTGATGCATGTGAAAGAGTCGAGTGGGCCAAGTATAAGCAAAGCCCGTTTTGTGGTCCCAGAAATGCTAAGTGCCTTTAAGCCACAGGACGGTAAGCCAAGTACCTGTCGAGTAACCCCTTAGGGCAATTCTCTCCTCAGGGGAGTGCAGTGGCATGATCATAACTCTCTACAACCTTGACCTCTTGGGCTCAGGTGATCCTCCCGCCTCAACCTCCTGAGTAGCTGGGGCTACAGGTGCACAGCATCATGCCCGGCTAATATTTTGATTTCTTGTAGAGACAAAATCTAACTATGCTGCCCTGGCTGGTCAGAAACCCCAGGGCTCAAGCAATCCTCCCACATCTCATAAGGAGTGCACAACCTAGATCTCTCTAATGCGCAGTTCACAACAGGGTTTACGCTGTTCCTTTCAAAGTGCTGGGATTGCAGGTGTGAACCACCATGCCCGGCCCACAAATATTTCTTGAATGTCCACTATGCACCTGGCCTGGCTCTAGGTCTGGGAATACGACATTATCTCAGATCGTGATACCTATCTCGAAAGGTTCCTGGGGAGATTAGAGGGAAGAATATGAAGCTTTTAACACATGCTGGGTATTGGATTCATTGTCATTGTTATTATATGATTTTGAGCACACTACATTTCTCTGTTCTAGTTGTGAGTTCTGCCACCAAGGGCGGTTGATGCAGATCCCACAGGCTCCAACTTGGGAGCACCTGACACCTGTTCTGGATCTGGGCGTCAGGTGCGGTGAAAGGTAAGGAGTGACGGCGTCATCCAGGTAGTCAGCGTGTCTGCCAGCTCTGCCCAGACATGCCTCTGTCCTTTCCGCTGCTCGCCCGCTTCCACTCTGGTTTAAGTTCTCTTTCTTCCCTCCTAGGACCTGTGTTATCTGGATTTCCAGCCTTAGGGTCTTCTCCCTTCAGGCGGCTTTGCAACATGCTGCGGTGGGACCAGAACTCCTCATACAGCCTGTCCCTCAGAACATACTCCTGACCAACCCTCCAAAGTGCGCTTCCTTCTAGAGCAGGATTCCCCCACCCCTGGGCTGTGGACTGATACCAGTCTGAGGCCTGTTAGGAACCAGGCTGCACAGTAGGAGGTGAGTGGAGCTCACAGCAGCGGGTGAATGGAGCTCCATTTCTGTCAGATCAATGGTGGCATTAGAGTCTCACAGGCGCACGGACCCTGTTGTGAACTGCACATGCAAGAGCTCTAGGTGGCGCACTCCTTATGAGAATCACAAATTGTCATTCAGGAAACCAGTCCCCGATGCCAAGAAAGGTTGGGGACCACCATTCTAGAGATCTCAATATGGTTGCTTTTGTATTTCTGCCTCTAGTCTGTTGATTAGAGTACTCGGCATATGACGTTTAAGAGCCCAAGAACTCAGCCGTCCCCTGCCATTTGCATGCACACTCTAGGGGCTGCTGGTTTTTCCCTGTCCTGAAAATTCACCTGGCCCACACCTGGCCCTGGTCTTTGTTCATGTCTGGTTGCATGGCTGGACTCATTTCTTCCCTCTCCTCAAACAACCCATCCCCTCTGTCCTTCTAAAATCCTGCTTATGTTCTAACCCTGGACCCATTTAGCTCTCTTTTCTTCTCATTCCTGAAACATTTACGTTTTTTGACCATAGTGTTGATAATTATATTCTGACTTGTGCTCTGCACTGTGGTTTCACCTGTGTTGGTAACTGCCCAATCCAGTGTTGGACATGTGGGGAGCTCTAAATAATGCCTTGTTGGTGGTTTTAAAAAGTCATGCATCCAGTGTTATATAGTGCCCTTAAAGCTGAAATTAAGAAAGAAAGGCAGGTGAATCACGTCATCTTAATGTAACTGTTACTGCATTATGGGTTTCAGGATACAAGACAGACCCAGAGACTGTATTAAGATATTGCTTGAGCTGCAGTTATCTCTGGGGACCTGCCAAGTCATTTATACATGTTTACCAATGTTAACACAACCCTAAAGTTTAACAGAATTTTAAAACCAAAATAAGGAAAAGCAGTTGGCCTGGGTGGTCATTTACTCAGAATTCCCAGAAGTCCCGAGTTCTGGCAATTACACTCTACAAGTCAATCTTGGAGACTGCTGTGTACCCGTAGGTGTGGAATCTGGCACTTTACAGCTCTGTGGGCATGGGATTTTGACCCTCAACTTGAATCATTCGTGTAGTGAGTCAGTCTACCAACCACAGAACTTTCACAACACATTTCTGTTCTAAGATGGAATCTGATAAAGTTTGAGGTGCATAGCTTATATAGGCATTCAAGGAACCTTAGTTATTTTCTTTTTTCCCTTTCCCTGGTTCCATCTGAGGCCTCTGGAACTGCCATAATTGCCCTTTGATCCTAGTGGATTATCTTGGCTTTTCCTTCTCTTACATCCCCACTTTCAGAAGGCTCCTGTATCTCCCCATGTAGCATCTTCACATGATAGACTTCTCTTTCTTCCATTTCCTTAGCAAAATTTCTCACCTCAAGAGGTGTTACCCTACATCAGGGGCCGTAATTTCTTTTGCAGTAGACTCTGACACCCTCAGGCCACGTCTGTGTCCGCCTGGTGCTCATCTTGAATTACAAGATTATTCTCCTTGCCCTGTCAGGACAATATCCACTGCCTTAGGGTGTGGAACACAGCCCCCATCACAATTAGAGTACTTAGTGGCAGTTCCCGTTAAAAAAGTAGAACAAAAGATAGGCCAGGATGAGTGATTGAAGGCATGTCGTGGTTGTTCACCTGTTGAAGTCTGGAATCTAGACTGGGAGTGTGGAGATCACCTTGGTGACCTCTGCAAAACTTGGTCAGACTTTAAAAAAGGCAGGATCACACAGTAGGTAATAAGACAGTCTCTGAAGCTAGACAAAGCTGGACCGATTTTGGGTGTGTTATTTAGATTTGACTATTAGTTGTGCCACTTATTAGTGACCTTGAGTAACTTTTAACTTCTCTGTACTTCAGTTCTCATCTGTAAAATGGGGACGATAACAGCACTTACCCCCAAACATACCCAGCACATAGTAGCAAGAGTCAGCTCTCATTGCTCTAAGGAATACATGATAGTGGTTAAAGGCAGGGTCCCTGAACCTATAATGCTGGTTCATGTCCCAGCTTTACCTTTAAGTAACTTTGTGACCCGAGTAAGTCACTTAGCATCTCTGCCTCTGTTTTCTCATGTACAAAACGGAATGATAATGGTGTCTACCTAATAGGTCATTATTACATGTAAAGCGCCATATTAAGTGTTGTTGTTATTATGAAACTTATTAGAAAGCATATTCCTTGACTTGTAGATTTGGCTGATCCTAAATGGACGTTTATAAAATACTTACTAGACACTTCTAGGAAAAGCATTGGATTAAGAATAAAAAGACCAAGATTCAAGGGCCGGTTCTTCCACTTTCTAGCGGTGAAACTCTGAGCAGGTCATTCAACTTCTCTTGACTTCAGACTCTTCTTATATAAAGTGGGATAGTAATACTTTCCCTGTGTAGTTCACTAGATTTTTCACCCATAGGCTAAATGCGTAGACAATCACTCACAGAGGCATTGCTTTGTCAAGTGGATGTGAAAAGACAACATACTGTGATGCAATTATTATCTCTTAAAGTAATAAAAACGCCCATTAGTTAAGTCAGAGAATTTTCTCCAGGTGTGCTCTTGCTGGGGCTCAGTTACGTTAGGTGTTGGGACTTTCTGACTCCTGTGGCTCAAGTTCACGGGGAACATGCAGAAACAATCTCCCCAATCCACTCTCTCTCACACATTCTCTTCATTCTCTTTCTTCCTCCACTTCCCATCTGGCTTAAAAAAAAAAAACATGTTCCAGGCATAGTGGCTCATGCTTTGTAATCCCAGCACTTTGGGTGGTTGAGACAAGAGTATTGCTTGAGCCCAGGAGTTCGAGACCAGCCTAGGCAACATAGTGAGACTTCATCTCTACAAAAAATTAAAGAATTAGCCACAAATGGTGGTACATGCCTGTAGTCCGGTCTACTTGGGAGACTGAGGCAGAAGGCTCACCTGAACCCAGAAGGTTGAGGTGCCACTGTATTCCAGCCTGTGTGACAGAGTGAGACTCTGATTCAAAAAACAGACAAACAAACAAGCAAATAAGCAAACATTTTGTGTAGTTGAAAGTAGGGATAGAGGGGCATATTCTGAAATTCTGGTTAACTCCCTTTCGAGAACAAAGGACATCAGAGAGAATGGCTTTTACTCACCTACGTAGGTGGTGTTGCTTTCGTAGCTATTCGAATAGGTCTCAATGCCTGGGCCGGTGGTAGTGAAAACTGCATCGAAGACCATGCAGTTGTTACTGTAATTTGTAGAGGTGGTTGAAGAAAACTGCAGTCTGAGGTTCAGAAACAGCCCCAGTGGCAGAAGCATGGAGTAGAGGACTGCCATGGCCTTGATCTGTTTGGAAAGTGCTGGGCCTGGAACTGGGTAAGACGAACAACCCACTCCTGTTTATACGCCTGGAGCTTCTGCGTGAAGTCATACATGCAAATCTTCTTCCCACCCCTTCTGAAAATACACTGGCTTTTGGAATTTGGCCCAAGATATCATCAGGAATGAATCACCAGTCACCATTACCTGTCACCAATGCTCTTTTACAAATTCCAGTTTTGCTCAAGAAGGGGAATGTCCTGATTATAGTTTTCTTGTATTTCATTCATTTCAGCATCTGCTATCTGAAGAAAGCTGTCGAGAAGATGTAAACATCAGAAGAGTAGAATTCAGAGTTGTGTAATCACCACATACCTGGTCCGTTTAGAAGTTCGGTTCTCCCCGGAAGACATAAAAACCCTCCTTTCTTGGAATATTATATGTTCTCTTGCCCCTCCTTAATCAAGTCTCCAATTCCTGGGTCATTTCATGGCTATCATAGAACTAGAAATTCTATGCTCCCTGGATTTATATTTATTTCCTTGGAAGGAAACAGCTTAGGTCTACCTTGCTCCCGATATTTTCTTCTGTAGCATCATCACACTAGGAAACTATTAAAAGAATCAGAAAATATGTGTTTGCATATCTCCCCTCTGAGTTTTATGATTCACTCAGTGAAGGAGAAGAGGAAAGACTTTGAATGGAAAGAAAACAAAAAAATGTAGAATAGAACCAAGGTAATATTTATAAGTGTTCCTTCAAGGGAAGCACTTGCAGAATGGTGGCATGAAGACCTCTGAAAAATTCACTTCTTAAAAAGTAGTGGAGAACACTAGCAAAAATGGTGAAAATCAACTTTTTGAAGACTTTGGAAATTAATCAAATGCTTACAACAATCTCGGAGAATTTACTTAAGAAAAATGGTTGAATATCATTAAGAACAGTGAGCACTGTGGCATTTTAGCTTGCCCTGGTTCCATCTTCCTCAACCCACCTTCATGGTAGCCTTAGAAACCAACAACCTAGCCGGGCTCGGTGGCTCAGCCTGTAATCCTGCGCTTTGGGAGGCTGAGGTGAGTGGATTGCCTGAGCCTGCAGGTTCGAGACCTGCCTGGGCAACTGGGTGAGCCCTCATCTCTACAATAAATCAAAAAATCAGCCGGGCATGGTAGCGCGTGCCTGTAATTCCGGCTACTCAGAAGGCTGAGGCGGAAGGATCGCTGGGGCCCAGCAGGTCGAGGCTGCAGTGGCCGGGAGTGTGCCACTCCGCTCCAGTCTGGGCGACAGAGTGAGACTCCAACTCAAAAAAAAAAGAAACAACAAAAAAAAGAAACTAACAACTTTGCAGCTATGGTAGCTGGAAAGACCAGCAAACTAGCAGCCGATGGAAGAAAATAGAACAGATTTGGAGCTTTCAAGAGAGCCTTATCTCCAGATAATTTTCACTCGGTGACCTGTTTGAAAGTTAAGTTGCATCCTTAGGGGCTTTTCTTTATTTGACCTGAATCAGAACTTTCTCTGCATGAACAGTCATATTGTTAGGGTGTTTGTCAAAAATAATCAGAGGAAATGTTTAAACATTGACTCTTCCAATGGCAGTGATTCCAGCTGAGACTGATAAGAGACTGAGTAAAAAATGAAATGTCTATAGGGAGCTCTGAAAAGCTCAGACAAATACCTGGGAAGTTAGAAAGCTATATGCACATGTAGGGTTATGTACCTGCAGAAGAAAAACCTGAGAAAGCCAAAATCTCTCACCTCTGGCTGACCTTGAGGCTCTGCACAAGTAGGAAGAAAAAGTCAAAGGCAGAGTTGTAAACTGCCTATCTGACCACCAAAGCAATGCCCCAAAACACACGCACAGAAGTGCTTGGCAAAGATTGGGAGTCTTTTTGGTACAAGACATTTAAAGAAATCTCCATCTGTTTATTAGGTGGCCAGTAAGCTAACTGAGCAGAGATGTTGGTGGTCACACATGATAAAGAATACAGACTTAATTAAGAAAAGTCACAAAACAGACAGCAGCAGTAATAATAAATAATAACACTAAACAGCAAATCCAAGGAGGGGAAGGAAGTTTGGTGTCCGAGGTTTATTTTTATATTTTTGAGATGTTCAGTGCTTAACAAAAAATTGTAACACATACAAAGAAACAATAAAGTATGACTTGTACAGAAAAAAAAAAAACCCCAGGTCAACAGAAACTGTCCCTGAGAAAGCCCTTATGTTGACCTTATCAGACATAGATGTTAACTCAGCTTTCCTAGTTCAAGGAACTAAGAAAAAAATGTCTAACGAATTAAAGAAAAGACTAAGAATGATGTCTTACCAAATAAAGAATAGTAATAAAGAGATAGGAATGATAAAAAGAACTCAATAGATATTTTGCTGTTGTAAAGTACAATAACTGAAAATTAAAACAAGAAAAATCAGCTGGACATGGTGACTCAAGCTTATAATCCCAGCACTTTGGAAGGTCAAGGCGAGAGGATTGCCTGAGCCCGTGGGTTCGAGACCAGCCTGGGCAATATGGTGAGACCTGGTCTCTAGAATAAATAAAAAAAAATTAGTCAGGAAAATCACTAGAAGGACTCAGCAGCAGTTTTGATCTGGTGGAAGGAAGAATTTGTGAACTTGAAGATAGGTCAATTTAAGTTTTTTGGTTTATATTTATTTATTTGTTTATTTATTTATTTGAGTTGGAGTCATCCCGTGGCCCAGGTTGGAGTGCAGTGGCAAGCTCACGGCCACCCCAGTGTCCACCTGCTGGGCTCTGGTGATCTTTCCACCTCAGCCTTCCAAGTAGCCAGAACTACAGGCGTGCGCTATCACACCTGGCTAATTTTAAAAATTTTATTATGGAGACGAGGGCTCACCATGTTGCCCAGACTGGTCTTGAACCCGTGGGCTCAGGCAATCCTCTTGTCTTGGCTTCCCAAAGTGCTGGGATTACAGGCTTGAGTCACCACGCCTGGCCTATTTATTTATTTTTAATTTAAATTTTTTTTTAAATTTAAAGATGTGGGGTACAATTCAGGATTAGATATACATATGTATTTTTATTTTTGAGTCCCTGTCTCACTCTGTCACCCAGGCTGGAGTGCAGTGGCACGATCATGGCTCACTGCAGACTCAAACTGATCTACTCAGGCTATCCATTCGCTGGCTATCCTTCCAGTAGCTGGGACTACAGGCACATGCCACCACCCCTGGCTAATTTTTTAAATGTTTTGTACAGATGATTTTTCGCTATGTTGTTGAATTCCTGGGCCTCCCAAAGTGCTGGGATAACAGGCATGAGACCCATGCCTAGCTGGCTGAATAAATCTGACAAAAGAAGTACAAGACCTGTATACTGGAGGTTGTAATGAGGGACCAAGAAAAACCAAAATGACCATTAAAAAACAAAGGAACAAACAACGAAGTTTGAGCATTTACATTTCCCAATTTAAAACTTACTACATAGCTATAATATTCAAGATGGCACGGTACTGGCATAAGGATAGAAATATAAATCAATGACATAGATTTGCAAGTTCAGAAATAAGCCCATACATTTATATTTATGATCAACTGATTTTTGACAAGGGTGCTGAGATACAATGGAGGAATAAATGGTGCTAGGACACGTGCAAAAGAATTAAGTTAGACCCCTCCTCACATCTTAAATAACTCAAAGTGAATCAAGAACCTAAACGTAAAACTATAAAACTCTTAAGGAAAAAACCACAAGTATAAATCTTCAAGGTAATAGTTTATTAGCTAGGATGCCTTAAAAAAAAAGGGAATGACTCATGCCTATAATCCCAGCACTTTGGAGGCCAAGGTGAGAGGATTGCCTGAGCCCACAGGTTTGAGACCAGCCTGGGCAACTTGGTGAGACCTCATCTTTACAATAAATCAAAAAATTAGCCGGGTGTGGTGGTGCATGCCTGTAATTCCAGCTACTTGGAAGGCTGAGGCAGAAGGATCACCTGAGCCCAGCAGATCAGCAGATCAAGAGACTGTGGTGGCCATGAGCGTGTCATTGCACTCCAGCCTGGGCGACAGACTGAGACTCCAAAAAAAAAAAAAAAAGAAGCAAAGAAAAACATAAATTGGACTTCATCAAAACTAAAAACTTTCATTCTTCAAAGGACACTATCAAGAAAGAAAAGACAATCCATACATCAAGAAAAAATATTTGCAAGGCACATATCTGATAAGGGCCTGGTATTTAGAATAGATAAAAAACACTTACAACTCAACAATAAAAAGACAAATATCCAAATATAAAAAATGAGCAAAAAATTTGAATACTTTCTCCAAAGAGATATACAAATGGCCAATAAGCATGTGAGAAGACGCTCAACATCATTAGTCATTAGGAAAATGCAAATCAAAACTACAATGAGAAACCACTTTACAGCCATTGGGATGAATATGACCAGAATAGAGAAAATAACAAGTGTTAGTCAGGTTATTGAGATATTGGAATCTTTATGCTTTGCTGATTGGAATATAAAATGATGCAGCCACTTTGGAAAATTAGAAACCCAAAACAGTTTTAGAGGATGGGATGGTCCTGACATACAGTAGATTTTAGTAGATTTTCCTCCCTCCCTCCCTCCTTCTCCCCTCACTCCTTCCTTCTTTCCATTTTGTAGCAGCTTGCGACAGTAGATCAGCAGGAAATAAAATGTTGGCGTCCTACTGTTGATATGGGGACAATAGTCTAATCTTCCTATGAATTGGGGGACATAGGATTAGGGAAGATGGGAAAAAAACGTGGAAGGGAAAATGCTGCTGTAAGCTGAATTGTTTCACTTATTTTCTGCACTGCAGAGCTCAGCCAGAGAGAGGACTTGTGTGAAGACACTGGCGTGGCCTCTGGGAGGAGGGAGTGTCTACCTGATGTAGGGACAGCTGTTGACAAAACAAAGGTGTTCTTTGATTCCAGCTGGAGAGGACTTGATTTTTCTTGAGGATGAGAGACCAAAAGGAAACTCATTGTAAAGCAAAATACAGTTTTTGGGCTT